ATAAAAAATGATTCTTGGGTAAAAGTGATTAGTGCTGGTTGCAAGAGAGGTGCCTGGAAACCCTAATAAATCACAGATGTCTTCTCCCCTGGGGGGCTTCCAGCATGCCATGGATCAGGGTTTTTTTTCCCCCCTTAATTCCTACCTTCCCAACCCCCTTTCCTTCTCTGCCACGTAAGTCTGTCTTTCTGCTGCTATTTTTCTAGTCTGGTAGGCACAGCACTGAACTGGAAAGACTCCACCAAGACCTTTGGCAAGGACTTCCAGGAATTCTGGCTGCCATGGTCATGCAAAGGCAGGGCCTCTGGGCAGACACGCAGGAACGAGGGCTAGGTTTGGGGTCTGGCCGGAGGGCAGCATAGAACAGATCTCCGGGGCCTGTGCCTCGCTCTCCACAGCTCAGCTTTCTCTGCCAGGGTCAGGATGACGACTGCTTGCTGGCACTTGCTCTAGTGCTCCTGGGAAGGGATGTGAGAGGAAGGGGAGGGCCCAGAGCACACGGGCACACGACCAGGAGCTGGGTAAGCTCCACAGGGCACAGCCACGTGCCAGTATTGCACGGCCAGCAGGCTAGCTGCCAGTGCTCACACATGAACTGGGGGCTGGGCACTGAGAGCATTTCCACACTGGCATAACAGAATTGCTAACCCAGAAGGGATGCTGTTGATTTACCACCACGGAAGTGATTCGTCCTAACCTGGAAGAACGGTCAGGCAGGCTGCATGGTATGTGATGGGCTGAGCAGGTCAGGCGAGGAGAAAGGAAGGAAGGAGGGAGGGAGACAGAAAGGAAAGAAGGAAGGAAAAAAAAATCCTGCCCTATTTTTGCAAAAGGAAAACTGCATGAGCAAATCTCTAAAGAATGGAGCCACGGATCCACTTCTTCCTTACCCTCATGTACAACTACCATAACAGCCTGCGCACTAGGCATTTGTGGAGCACTCACTGAGTCCTACATTGTCAAGAGCCAACCTATCTAATCCAGCTAAAATCCCATGAGGAAGGACTATTTATCATTCCATTCCACTGAGGAGTGAACTAAGGTTCAAAGAGGTTAAGAAACCCTTCCAATGGTAGGTCCAGTCTGGACACCCAAGGTCAGGGCCTCAGAGACTGCATTCCTCACAACCATGTTGTCTTGCTTTCTCTGCCTCCTCCCAAATATTCTTGCCGCTAGCTTGTGAATACAATGAAGCTAGGGAAACAGGCTATACCTTCTACAGGGCTTGGGGGGGACACACCCTTTTCCAAGAAACAGAAAAAGCTGACTCCCTTCCCTCTGCCACTGCTTGATCCTGTGGAATTAGAAACACTTCAAGTTATTGGAGGTGCCTGGCACAGCAGTCATCAATCCGTCACACACACCAGGCAGCATGTCCAACCTGCAGAAACATGGACACTGGATGAGGAAACACGCACAGAGCATGTGCCTAGGGGCAACGTCCTCCCAAGACCCTAGGAAAAGCCAGAGAACGCTCTTACCTCTGTGGGACCTTCTGCCAGCATGGAACGCCTCTCCCTCACTTCTCAGAGCACACAGCTGGCATTGTGCTCCATGCCCATGCCGCTCTCGAAGGGCAGGCTGTGGAAGTGGAAGCTCCAGGATGCAAGCAAGGGTTCCCTCGCTCCGTTCCCTTGTGCCACATCCCTGGGAGGGTCTGGCTGGGATGCTACATCCCTGGGAGGGTCTGGCTTTCCTCTGGGATCAGTCCCTGTGTTCCGCTCTCTGTTCTCAGAAAGAGAACCCTCTCAATTCTCAGCTGAGCATGGGCCTGACAGCGGTAGGACACCCCCAAGCTATTCAAAGAAAAACCACCAGAGGAAACCATTTCAAATCTGGCTCTACAAGCATGGGGTTTAAAAATAACTCTGCCTTTGTCTGCTATAGATGACTTTCCCTGAAGGGAGGCCTGTCCTTAAAGCAATCGCTCAATCTGCAGGGCAAATACAATCATCATCTTCCACCCGAACAGACACTTCCAGGAGCGCAGCCCCATGCACCACCTCTGACAGCAGCTGACAGGCAAACGAGGCAGGCGTCAGGAGGCGTCGGGCCATCGCTTCTGGCCCAGAGCCTCCAGGATACCACGCCATGGCGGGCTGACAAGCTTTGCCGTGTCTAAGAGCATCAAGGAACCCACCACACTCTGGTCTCCTTGCAGACATCAACCCAGAAAGCCAGGCAACCATGCCAGAGCCACACCCTGTTTCTATGGATCCCTGGACTCTTATTCCAATAATGACCATGCTTCAGTCAATGCCAGATGAGCTCTTGGCTCTGTAGTGAGCCAGAACACTGGAGCTGGGGTGCACAACAGGAAAGGGGGCTGGGGGAGTTCTCCAGCCTGTGGCTTTACTTCCTTCTGACACAATAAGGAGCACAAATACTACTGAATATAACTCCCAAGATGCCTGCTGAGCCAACAGCCTCAAACCAACGTTTGGAAAATTGCTCAGTAATTACCTCCTGATTAGATTGATGATTTAGTTTTATCAACAAAACAGTTGTAAGTACACTGTTCTTCAAATTCTTCTTGGCAACCTATCTCTTGACCTTCTCAACCGTTTTGCCCTAAAGCATCACAAGAAGTAAAAATGCACCTGTCTTCATGAAAGGATGCACACTGAAATCCTGATGCTGCAGTCAAAGCTGAGGCTCTAGATCAATGGCTTTCAACTGGGGTGGTATGTGTGTGTGTGTGTGTGACTTCATTCCCAGGGGCTAGCAGGGACTAGAGACGTCTGTACTTGTCACAGCACGGGGAGAGGGACTGCTATTGGCAGACGGTGGCAGAGGCAGGATGCTACCAAAGAGTGCACAATGCAGAAGACAGTGTCCCACGGCAAGACTCACCCAGAGCATGAGCAGTGCCAAGACTGAGGCATCCTGAATGAGTATGGAAATGATACAGTTTCCAAAATGTTCAGGGCTACATCTGGGCTCTTCCCTTCTGAGTACTTATGTTCCTCAAGATTATCTTGGAGTTTCTATTCTGGTCACTCCCGTGAGCCACATAGGAGCAGCAAGGAGGTTCTCCAGTTGCCCATTTCCTTGCAATACCCATGTATCAGTTGGTGTGATCTGGAGGGGTCTTTTGTACAGTCAACACTATAGGAAAGGCAGAGGGCTCTTTGGTCTGTGTGGTGCACGACGAAGAGTGATAACTTTCCGTCCTTCCTGTTAGGACTCTTGCTGAGTCCCAAATTCAAAGACGTAAAGTTATTTAGCAGCATGCTCCCATTATTATTTTTTAAAAGACATTTAAATGAAGAGCTTATCTCTAAACCCTCAGTGCCCATGTTGATCCTGACAACATGGCATCCCCTGGAATGCAGGGGTTTTCTGCTACAAATTGCAGCTCCAATTGGAGTATTTCTGAGTCACTCACTGGTCGACCCTGGCACTAACAAGCTCTGACAACTGACTTCTCAAGAAGCCTCCAATTCCCAAAGCTCAATGCTTAAGTCTTAGTAGGAATTCCTCAAGCCAGCCAGAGTAGGGTAAAACTGCCAGGTGGTTCTCTCCGGAGGACAGGTTAGGGACTGCAGCTAGTGATCTAGTGATTTCGGGAAGCTGTTACAGAAGATAGGACTGAAAGAAACGACCAAAACTCACGGCACGTGACCAGGATCACGGCTGCCCTCCCTCCCAGGACACCTGGGGCTCCTTTCTAAATTTTGGCTCTAATTTTCACAATAATCAAAGCAAACCCTGGGTTGCTTTCTGACTTTAGGAGTCGCTGATGTGTGCAGGTGGCCTGTCTCCACAGAGCAAGGGGAGACAGTGGCACAGCACTCAATAGCGGAGTTCAGAGTCATGCAAAGCATTGTGGTCCGGCATTTCTGCAGGTTCCAGGGCTGGCCACAGGCTCAGATTTAATTCCGTTCCAACCACTGGCCCTGAGCAAAAAGTCAAAGTGGTTTTGGACACCAAAACCACTGGAGAGCATAGAGGACTTCAACTCCCACACTAACGTATCACGGGGGGAGTGGGAGGGAGGTGTTCTCTCTCTCTCTAATAGTTCTCTCTCTCTCTAATACACCCCTCCTTCTGTTTAAATCATGCTCTGTGTGTCCCAGGAATTGCCACGTCAGCTGAGGACACGGAGTTCAGTCACAACCTTGGGCACAAGTCTTGCTTTGTCCTGCTTTCCGCTAAGGCCCTCAGCTCAGGGACCTTCCTGACCCTTTATCTGGCTGCATCTTTGTTCCTGGTTGCCTGCGCACATGAAATGCTCTTTGCTGCCTGATCGCCTTGTACTCCAGGCCTGAATTCAGAGCTGCCTTCCTCCATGTTTCCCTCTGAGTCTGCAGCAGTGGGTTTTGATTCTCTGATCACTTAGGGCGAGATTTCAACACCATTTACAGCCTCTTTGCAGCTTGGCAGGCTCTGATAAAGACGGATTAAGTGGATGACAGACGAAGTTGAAATACACACAGAAAGACATGGAGGAACAGTCTGACTTCATAGGAATAGTGACCAGATATGTGTGGTCTGCTGCTAACTAGGCCATGGTTAATAGGAGAGTCTGCTTTTAGATTCTGGTTCTTAGTCCACGGGAAAAGAAGAGGGGTGAAAAAAGGCACCTGCCCCCCAGCCCTACCCACATCTGGCTTTTCCTTGAGGCCACAGAAGAAGGAATGTAGAGAGGCCGAGCCTCATGGAGGGTTTACCCCAACTGTTCAGTGAGAGCTTATGACCTATTTGTTTGCAGAAGGAGGAGGAGCAACGGGGCACGTGATGGACAGTAGAGGGAGGCCGGACATCTCAGCTTGCAGCCCTTCACCCCGCTGCATGGGAGTCCTGCGGGGACCTGGCCAACCATCAGAACTTGCAGCAATGGCTGCAAGGCCCCTCAAGCATGTTACAGGCCTTGGGTGGGCACTGCGGGCGCTCACTCAAGTATGCAGGGCCAAAGGGGTCCCTCCTCAGTGTGGTCTGTGCCAACAGCCCCGGCCCTCCCACGCGTCTTCCCTGTCCACACGTGGAGGAGGGTTTACCTGGTCTGACAGGGCTCTGCACGCAGGTGGGAGACGAGATGCCGGGGTGAATGGGTGCCGAGGTCCGGCTGCTGAGGTCCATGACTGAGGGGGCAGCCGCGGCTGGCGGCAGTCCCGCCGGGTGGGGGCTGTGGTCCTGCTGGGACGGGCTGGGGGGAATGCCGTTTTCCGACAGGAACTCTTCCAGGTCCATGTATTCCAGCTGGAAGGTGTCTCCGTCATAGGGGAGGGTTTTGTCCCATAAGGTGGGCCCCAGGAACGCTGACTGGGGCACTGTCGGGCTGCTGCTCTCATCATCCAGTTTCTTCTCCTTGTCTTTCTCTTTATTAAATGCTGCCCAAGAAACAAAAAAGTGGACTTTTAAACAGGAAAGAGGGAGCGCGAAAGCCAGTGAGTGGCTCTTTGCCCCCACCCTTCCTGGCCTGTTATGAAACCACTTCTCGGGGTGCTAGGGGTCCTTCCCCGGTTGTGGTCTGCTCTGGGCCGGAGTTAAAAGTTCAGGCAGGACATGCATCGGGGCCTGTGTTTCAACAGCTTCCTATTTACTTTGGAAAGCAAGCAGGGGTTTGCAGGACAGGGCTACAAGCTGCTGTAGGGTGGAAACTGGAGAACGCTCCCCACTGCCTATGTGAGGTGATACATCATTTCAAGCGGCCAAGGACTGGCCCCTCAAGTCGACAGCCAGCCACCAGGCGTTTTCTCACTGGGGAAGTTCATTCCCTGTGGGCTGGACTGACCAGGGCCACTGAGCTGGTGACCCCTGATGTTGCTACAGTGGGGGCTCCCCGTCTGTCTTAACGTGCACCTACAACACGCACGCATCTTCCCCCTTGGTATGTCAAAGCGCTCACAATCAAGTTGCCCAGTTGTCTTCACCCACACTTTCAGTGAAGACACACACGGAGCCCCTCACACTTGAAGGGATTCGACTCGCATTGGCACAAGGAAAAAGAATTTTCTGAGCCCCTGGAACACAAACGGGCACAAAGAGAAAACCTGTCTCCCTCCGCTTGCCTAAGTACTTTTGTGAGCAGATTCACAAAATGCACACAGCCGCGCCACCTGTCACAGGCAGAGCTGCTGGGAGAAGTGCGACTGGACACTCCGAGGCAGGACCCCAGCAGCTATCTCTGACCTGCTCAAACTGCTCTCCTGCACTTCGCCAATTCCTGCACTCGGGAGTGGGTGGAAGCCTGGGCTCTCCAATTTGTTCCTGAGTTTCCTTCCAGGGAAGACAGCCTCTCCCGATAGCCCTTGGCAAATCTAGGGGAGTCAGGATTTTCAAAGCCCGGTGATGCCAAAGCCCAGCGGGTGGCCCCTTAGGAGAAGGAAGGCTGTGACCTGTACAGCCTGCAACCCGACACCCCAACTCCTGCCCGGCAACAGGTGACCCCTCCCGAGGAAGCAGCCTCGGTGGTCTAGGGAAGGGCTGCCACTTACCAAGAAAAGGGCTCCAGCCAGAGGCTGCTCCTGCGCGCGCGTACACGTGAGCCCGGCTGCGCTCCTCTCTCCTCCCACCTCACCAAGGCGCACAGGGAAAAGTGTCTGCGCCGTTGGGGAGGCGTTCCCGGCCCCACACCCGGAGACCACTCCCTCCCGCCGCCTCCCCCGCGGGGCGCCCCTGCCCGGGGCTGGGGTGCCAGACCGTGTGCACCACACACACACCTCGTGCAGGACAAACACTCGGCCAGCAGAAGCAACAGCCCAACGGACCCGGGTCCAGCCTGGCTGCCACCCCAGTGTGCGGAACTTGGCCCTGGCTGCTCTCCACCCCTGGGCTGCGACCCTAACCTGCCCGCTGACCTCCCACCTGCCCCAGTCCTCCGGCTAGCTCACACCCTACCCTGGAGGAGGAGGGGGAGGAGGGTGCGGAGCGGGGTGAGGTCTTGTCTCCCCGGAGCTGGGGTCCCCCGAGGCCTTCGTCCCGTCCAGGACCCCCGGTGTTCAGCCAAGAGGGGCAGCGCTCACCGTCTTCGTGTAGGGGGAGCTTCAGCGGGTTCTCCAGCAGGGACCTGAGCACGCCGTAGGGAGGCGGGATAAAGGTGGGGTTCAGGGGCAGCTGGCGGGGCATTTTCTCCATCGCGATGCACTCGAGATTTTTTTTTTTTCCTTTAAAAAACAAAAAAGTCGGCCCCTCCCGCCCCACACCCGATTTGTCGTTGAGCCTTTCCTCCGTCCTTGGCCCCAAAGTACTCGCTCCCAAGGTGGCAGGAGATAAGGGAAGAAAAAAAGAAAAGGACTTAGATGTTTATCAATACATCTGAATTTGTTTAAAATAAATAAAAAAAATAATAAACTTTCGGGTCCTGGGTGCAGGCGGTCCCAGGGGAGCGCGCCCAGCACGCAGGATGCGCGCTCACCTGCCTCGAACCCTTTCTTCCTGCAAAAGGCTCAAAATGGCAAGAAAAAAAGAGAGAAAAGGACCAAAAACAAAAAAAGCAGCAGCAGTCGCAGCAGCAGCAGCAGCGGGCAGCGGCCGAGGGGCCCGCCCGCCCCCGGCCGGCGGCCCCGCAGCTCCCCGCGCCCCGCGGCCCGCAGCCCGGCTCAGCGCAGCCGGCCGTCCATGTGCCGCGGCCTGACAAGAGTGACGTCAGGGCCCGCACCGCGCGCCGATAGGCGTGCGGGGGCGTGGCCGGGAGCCGCCCCGCCCCCGGCCCGGCCCGGCCCGCCCCTCGCCCGCTCGCCCCGCCCGCCCCGCCCGCCCCTCCGCCCGGTGTGTGGCGTCGTCGCGCGCGCCGATTTCCCTGGACCTGGTTGCTGCTGCTGCGGAGCAGGTGTGTCCTTGGCCCCATGAACCTGGGCTCACGCTCCCATTTTTTGTTAATTTTGGTTGGAAGAGGACTAAGGGATGTATAATCCCGTAGTTTTCAACCTGAGAATAAGGAGTTACTTTAAAATAATAATGAAAAAAAAAAAAGAGCCTGATGCTCAGGCCACACCCCGGAGGAATGAAGTCGGAACCGCTGCAGGGTGATTTCCAGACATCAGTAGTTCCTCCAGCTCCCTGCAAGCAGCCAAGTTTGAGAGTGGCTGGCTTAGATGGCACTGGTGATAAAACTCTCCCCTAAGTGCTTCTGTCTGGCTGTTACCAACTGGGCGCTGGCTTCTGGCTCTGATCTCACAACTCCCCAGGGGCATCCCAAAGGGCTGCTGTTCCTGGACGCACGACGAAGCTGCTGGTGCGCCAGGGGAGCGTCGGTGGGAACGGCGGCTGTGGGCAGCGCAGCAAGGACAAGATGCACACACACACACACACAGAGTTGGATTTTAGAAATCTGAGCCCCGCTGGGCACGGGCGGCTGTGCCTGGGTCAGGGTTAGGGGTCCTGCAAGGCCACTGAGACCGGTTCAGTCAGGGGCTCCTTAGGGAGTCCCGGGGTTTGCTCCTGGAGCAGTCGGAGCTGCGCGGTCCCTGAGCTGCTCCCAGAGCACAGCGTGCGCCCCTGGACACCCCTAGGTACAGGCGAAACTGCCACTGCAGGTGGCAGGAATAGAGGCGGTGCCTGCTGGCCATCCAGCGGCTGCTTCTCCTCCCTCCCCACGTGTCCTCGCTGAGGCTGCAAGGGCTGTGGCTAGTCAAGGGGAAGGATGTCTAAGGGGAATGGGCATGCCTTAAAGAAAGCCTGTCAGGCAGGCGCTGAGGCCTTCAGCAGCGAGGCACAGTCCTGGGGTGGGGCTAGTGCAGTCTGGAAGGGCGGTAGAAGACAGCAGGCACCTAAAAGCTGGGAGAACAGCAGGGTGGTGGGGTGGGTGGGTTGGCACAGAGCCTGGCTGGGTGACCCTGGTGAGTGCATTCCCGCCACACCCCCATAAAAGGGCACGCACTATGATGACTTCCACTCTGCTCCTAATGGTGACATTGTGACAAAAGGTGAGAGAGGTGACCCTTGGGATGATCCAGGTTTCAGCCCAAGTCAGGAGTCCTGAGACTTTGAGCCTTTGCGGTGTGTATTCATTGAGTGCCACTGTATGCAGTGACTGTGTTGGGATCGGTGAGAAGTCGGAATGGGTGCACAAAGGCACCATTCAGCCACCCCCAAGAGCTCGTGGCTGGGGGGTCTTGGCTTACAAGGTCATATCCTCATCCTAAAAGAGCAGCAACAGTGGCAGCCGCGGCTTGGTGACCAGGAAGGATTCCAGAGGCAGCTGAGCCTGGAACTAAGGTGTTGCCTGAGCTTCCGGGATCATTTTATATTGTTTGCCTGGAACAAGGGACTTCCCCTCCAACCCCACATCCCTATACACCCCTGAGCTGGTCAGCAATTGGTTACAGACTCCCAATGCACAAAAGGATGCAGAGGGATGTTCCAGACCTTAGTGGGTTAGCTCTGCTCAGCACACACAGGGCACTGCACCCATCCACAGTACCATGCTTGTCCTCACTGCCTGTGTGGCCACACCCCAAACCATCCCTCATCCATTCAAGAGATCAAGTCCTCTAGCCCCCCACACCACCCCGCATAGCACCAAACATCACAGTTTGGAGACTGACTCCTCATGCAAATCAATAAAGTGGCAGCCCAATGGATCCAGCTGTGTCTTGGGGAATTGTATCCTATGCCTCAGTTCCCCTGAACCCAATCAAATGTGGATGTGGACCAGGCTGAGACATATTCCTTAGACCATAGTGAACCCTCCTCAACTCTCTAGCACGGGTTTCTCTGCTCTGATGCATTTGCTAGTTTAAAATGACCAACATTGACTAATTTTCAGACAGATTCCCCTGCCTTACTAAGGTGAATGCCTACCTTCCCTACTCTGGCTAAATGGCCGTTTTTACAACTCTGTACCTATATTCACTAAGCTACAAAGATCTCCCCCCATCTCTGTGTTTCCCAGAAGCACCGATGGCAGCTTCCCACATAAGATGGAGAAGGAGGAAAGAAGAAATCAAAGGTTATTCAGTTGGCTAGATGACCCTCTGAGTTTCCCAGGCTTGGTCTCAGGGGACCACTGCTGCGCACAGGAGCACAGGCTCCTCCTGCACACATCCCAGAAGTGCCAGGCTCGCTTCTGTCCTTCCTCAAGGATCCCATCACATGGTCCTGATGACTTCATGATGAAAGCATGAATCCCGTCTCCCATGACTGTGTCACAAATCACCCCCAAGCCCAGCAATTTACAAATAGCAGCCCCTTCATTGTACCTTTTTGCTCTGCAGTTGGGGCCAGGCTCAGCTGGGCAGTGGGGACAGCTGACTTCTCCCTGTCCACGGGTCATAAGCATCTCTCCATTTTCACCCAGCCTTTTTATGTTGTACTCTCTCCGTGGCTCCTTCTGCAAAAAAAGGAGTCAGACTTCCAGCAAGCCCTGCAGGGCCCATCAGACCTTTGCTTGAGGATGTTCCACCACTCCAAGCCAAGTCCAAGGCCGCACCTTGACTCGATGTGGGAAGGGGCGACACAGGGGCTAAGAAGCTGAAGTGCGTGGCTCACTAAGGCTATGAGAAGTCACCAAAGCAACCATCCACCTCTATTGTTCATAGGCAAAGGACATCAGAGGATTTGTCTGACATCACTGGCATCCAACCCTCTTATGCATAGGTCCAGGGTGTCAGAATTCTGGCCCACCTAGTCATTCATTCATTAACTACTTGTTCAGAATGCCCACATGCAAAGCTGTGTACAGGATGCACAGAAAAGCCAGACACAGAGTCAGATGGAAATTCTCAACCCAGCTAAGGAGATGCCATTTATAAGCATTACCTGATACAATGTCATAAGAATAACAAAGAGAGAGGTCAAAAGTACTTGGAAGACAGAGAGATTTGTTTAGAGAAGGATGTGCATATGTCTACCAATCTCCCTGCCTGCATCTTTACCAATGTTAGTCTCTCCCTGACTTTAACAGATATGGATCTCGCACCTGCTTAAGGTGTCTTGCTATCTGTCCTTCTCTATACCCTTTTGCTAGGTCTTCATGAAGAGGCAGACAGAGGCCCCAAAGGCAGACAGAGGCCCCAAAGGCAGCACTATCCTTAAAGTAGGAATAACTCTGGGAAACACATTTCTTAGAATCAGCTTCTTCCAAGAAGGCAGCATTGCCCTCCCCCACCTTGGCTGCTCTAGAAAGCGGCCTTTGGCTTGCCCAGTGTTCTCCACCTGCGTTTGTCCTTCCAGAAGCTTCAACAGTGAAGCTGGGCAGGGAGGTCCTTCTGCACCCTGGTAGGACACCTGTGAGGCAGCCACTATGGTGCTGGCCCTGAATGTGTGTGGAAAGATCTTGGCAGTGCAAGCAGCGTCTGAGTTTCAGATTCCCAAAGGGGTGTGGAACCTGGTTGAGCACACAATGCCCGGCCCTGTATCAGGCTGGGGGCTGGGAGCCTGGGGTGGATGCAGCAGAGTGCTGCGGTTAGCAAAGGCCTTGTACGCCAGGGTGCTAAACCTTGGGGTGAACCCGTTCGTCTTGTTGCCAGTAACGGCACATTATCTGAGGAATTAATTCAGAAGTGAAAGGCGTCACGGGGAGTCCAGCTGCATACACCTAACCCAGGCTTTTCCCCGCTCTACTGTCTGAATCTCTAACTCAGCTGAAACACCAGAAAGAAAAATTATATTTAATTAGTTTACCTCCTGGAAACTTCTTAATCTATTCACTTGGGGCAGAGACAAGCAAGCCAAACACGGTACCAACTTGGCTGGGAGTGGCAGGCTCTCACCCAAGGGAGGACTGGGCAGAAGCCTGACTTCCCTCCTGCGTCGTTTAGCCATGTGTTGCTATGCTGGTTTAGTGTAAAAAGAACTAAAGCAGACACATATATGTGTGTTTAAAATCAGGGGATGGTGGAATGTATGTGTGCTAGAAAAAGAATAAGAGGAAAATTGGTGTAGATGAGAAAGTGAAAATATGTATGTGGCAAAAGGAGAAGACGGCTCTGCATGGTAGCATAGCAGCTAAAGTGCTCGCCTTGCATGCGCTGGGATCCTATGCTGATTCTAATCCTGGTGGCCCCACTTCCCATCCAGCTCCTTGCTTATGGTTGGGAAGGCAGTCAAGGATGGACCAAAGCCTTGGGACCCTATACCCTCATGGCAGACCCGGAAGAAGCTTCGGGCTCTTGGCTTTAAATCAGCTCAGCTACGACCATTGTGACCGCTTGGGGAGTGAACCATCGGACAAAAGATCCTCCTCTCTGACTTCTCCTCTCTGTATATCTGACTTCCCAATAAAAATAAACAAATCCTTTTTAAAAAAATGAGAGGGACGTGTGTGGCAGAAGAGAAAGCCCAGGGATTGGAGCCGGACATAGATTACTACTGCCTGCTTCCACTGCTGCAAGCAACAACGCAAGGACAAAAAAAGACAGCAGATGTGTGTGTGTGTGTGTGTGTGTGTGTGTGTGGTGCTACAGCTTTAAACCTTCTGAACACATGATATCACTTATGATTAGAAATGGTGATATAAGGTATCCAGCTTGATTATTCTCATTTTATAAGCGAGG